CTCTCTCTCTCTCTCCCTCTCTCCCTCCCTTCCTCAGAATGCCATAGTGCAGGCTGACTCTGCCCACTGCCAGGAATTCGATCCTGACCGGCTCAAGGTTGACTCAGCCGTCCATCCTTCCAAGGTCACTAAAATGAGGAGCCACATTTTCGGGGTCAGGCTCCAAGGGGCTTTGTAGCAGGCCCTTCCAACCTTAAACCCCTTTTAAAGACTTCAGCTCCGCTAGCTGGGGAATTCTGGCAGTTGGAAGTCCGCACGTCTTAAAAGTTGCCATGGTCGGAGGCCCCCCGCTTACGAAGCGCTGTGGCGTGGTATATAAGTCTTCAAGTGCTATTTCTAAAAGGAGAAGGACAAAAGAATTGTGCACGCTCCGTGGCATCAGATCAAGACGATGGTGGCTTGCTTCGGCCAGTTCGAAAGATGGGTTTACTCTGCAATAGATGTGACTGCCACAACCTGACTACCTTAGAGTAACCGTCCTATCCTTGAGGCAGAAACACAAGAGTGCCTTACCCAGCTACAGGGATGCCTTCTCCATATATGGCAATATTGCTCCCAGCTTTTTACTGTGCTAGGAGCTTTCCATGGTGACCGCTAGCCTATCGTTAGAGATGGGGTGGGCTGGGGAGAGAGCTGGCCTTCTTAAGTGCGCTTTGAGAAGTGATCCTTCAGTTTGCTGGAACAGAAAGGGGTGATTTAATATAATATTCCCTTCGGATTATAATGGAACGCTTTGATTTAAGGTGGGAGGAATCCTGTCCTTGGCACCTGATCCAGATGGAACAGAGATTGTGAAAGGCACAGGAGGAATTTAAGCCAGAATTGAAAAAGTTTGTAATTGCCTAACCAAAAATGGTAACTGTGATGTCCCGGGGCGTGGCACAAAAGCAACAAAGTCACAAAAGTAGGTAAAGTCCCTCTAATACCTCCAACTTGGCCCCCAATATCCAGTTATCATCGGCTGGAGAAAAACCGTCCCAAGAACAGTTTTTAAAGGGAAGAAATTCAGTCCAAACCCAAAGTACATATAGATTATAAATAAAAACCAACACAAACCACAACTGCAGCAATTAACAAGACAGGGCAGGATAAGGAATTGCAAACTTCAAAAGATCATGAAACACACACAGTTGGGAGGACGCCAGAACCCAGATAAGACTTGACAAACAAAGATAATTCACGCTTTGCTTCCAGCAAGGTGCTGTGCACAAACACCCTTTTTATCCTGTTTTCCCAGCTGCAGCTAATGAAGGGAATCAGGGCCCTTTCCTCCCCCCTAAACCACGTTGCTCCCTTCTCCGTTCCTCCCTGCGTGCCCTAGGATGAAGAGGGGATGGGCCTGGGTCTTCCTCTGAATGCCCAGCCGGACTGTGCCCTTCCCCAGTTTCCTCCACAGCCACCGGAGCCACACTCCCACTCCCTGTCAGCTGCTCAACCTCCCCCTCGGAATCAGATTCCAACAGGGGCATGACAGGTAACAGTGGTGGCAGTCCTGAACTCAGGATCTGAGTGGCTTAAATTAGAACAAGCGAACGTGTGGGATGCGAAGGTGGCCGATAGTCGGCACTCGCTAAATGTTAGTTAGCTGAGAAAAAGACGGATTAAAAAGAGAATCACGAATGCTGTGAGAATTTAACAAAATGGGAAGTCTACATGTGTACATGGGACAATTCACAGTGAGGACAATTAACCAGTGGAACAGAAATTGCCTCCAGGAGTCGCGGGTGCTCCCTCATTGGAGGCTTTTAAGAAGAGCCTGGACAGCCACCGCTCTGAAATAGTATAGGATCTCCTGCTTGAGCGAGGGGTTGGACTAGAAGACCTCTAAGGTTCCTTCTAGCTCTATTCTGATTCAACTGAAGAAGCATTACCCTACAGATGTGACCTGCTAATGGAGCGGTGTGCCACTCACTTAAATATCCTTGTAAAGGCTGCATCCTTGTGTGGCAGTTGGAGGAATGTTCTTAATTGCTCCCTTACACGAAGGAGAACGTAGCGAGACTGAATACAAAATCTACAGGGCGTCAAATTTAAGTAGGCTTGGGAATGTGAGGTCTGCCGTGTCAATTATCAAAGGCTAAACGATTGTGTTTTACAAGGACAGTGACGTGATGATTGCAACGTTTAAGAAAAAAAGGCTATTTTACAAGCAAAGTCAATGGGGGAAAGCATAAACAGAAGGCTAAAATTGGGTATAGATTAGAATTCTTTTATTGGCCAAGTGTGATTGGACACACAAGGAATTTGTCTTTGGTGCAAATGCTCTCAGTGCACATAAAAGAAAAGAGACATTCATCAAGAGTCAGGAATCATCAGGGACAATAAGCAATCAAATCATACTAAGAAACAGTCCATATAAATCGTAAGGATACAAGCGACAAAGTTACCGTCATACAGTCACAAGTGAGAGGGGATGGGCGATAAGGAGTGATAAGGAGTATATCTAGTCTAGTGAAAAGAAGGATTAGAAGTGACACGATAGCAATCTTCCATGTATTTATGATGGTTTGTGTTAGAGTATTCATGAACTGGCAGAGACATGGTTAACAAAGTCAGCCAATGGGAGCTGAATCTGGGACTGAGAGTCTGGGCGTGGCTTAGCTCAGTGCTCTCAATTCTGAAAGTGAAACTAGTAATCTGTTCGGAGCTCCTGAAGCTGCTGGTTGTGTTTTGGTTACGTGACGTTGGAAGAAACTACTACTGGTATTGTAAACTTTACTTCATATGATTATGTTTATAAAGAAGTGATTGAGCCCTGCTGAATCAGTCATCTGTGTGTGTTTTCTGGACTTGAATTTATGTTGCAAAACTCGTCACAGTTTACTGAAAACTGGCACTTCCATTTTTCGGCAAAACCAAGCCCAGAGTGAACTTTTAGCTTTACTCAGCCACTGCGGTACTCAATGTCCTGTGGGGTTTACTTTAATGCAGCCTTGTTGGCTGCAAAAAGGTCATAAAATTGGCTTAGTCACATGTATCCAAACAAACAACGTTCATACCAACCTGCACCATATAAAATGGTATTTAAAGGCCAGTGCTCTCACAGACGAGCACAACTCAGAGCACGTTGATGATGTCTCCTCGAATGGTGATGAAACATTTTGCAACCAAAATGCCAAGCGCGGAGCTCAAACACAAAAGCCCGACTATCAATCCGAGCTACTAATATTTAAACACATTTTAGTCACATATGGCTGGGGCACGCTCCATTGTAGTTTATGGTGAGGAATACCTCTAAGCTCTATTTCCTTTGGGTCATCTCCTCAAACCTTTAATTTCTTTGACTTTACTATCCCTCGCTCTGTTTCTGGGCTCTTCCTACTACAAAAGAGAATCATGTCACTCTCTTCGTGGGGCTTATTTTATCTACTCCTATTTTCCCATCGTCTCCTCTTTGCTCTATTTATGTGTTTGCAGAGATGCAGAGGAATTAAAACGACCTGACAGTCTGAGTTTAATGCAAGATAGGGAACGACCGCAAGGATTAAGGCGCTTTGTAGATCAGTCAGAAAGGTAAGGATGTGAAGAGGGAAGATATCCTTTGCTAAATAAAGTACAACTCGCAATGTTAGAGAGGATTTTCAGAACTTTCCATTTTCAGAACTTTCCATAACTTTACAATTTGCCCAGAGCTTAACTATTAGATTTAGAACTCAGAATAACTTTATAGTCACTTTGGATGTACCCTAATCAGCATACAATAACATGAGATTTCTTTGCATTGCACTCTCGCTACTTCCTATATACACTACATAATGACAAACATATAAATAAATAAAATAAATATTGGGTAAATGACAGGCATTCTAAATAAAGCAATTTTTAGATGCTAACTGAATTCATACACATTTCTGAATGGTGCTGTGTAGCCTGCGGTGAATTTTTCTTTTGTTCATTGGATTTTGTTTATCCTGCCTTTTATTATTTTATAAACAAGTTAAAGCAGCAAACAGAACATTCCTTCCTCTTCCTATTTTTCCAGCAACAACCACCCTGTGAAATAGGTTGCGCTGAGAGAGATTGATTGTCCCAAAATTACCCAGCTGGTTTTTATGGCTAAGGGAGGACTAGAACCCACTGTTTCCTGGTGATTGGCCCAGAGTCACCCAGGCGTCTTCCATGACTAAGGCAGAACTAGAATGTACCATCTCCTGGTGATTGGTCCAAAGTTACCCAGCCGGCTTTCATGCCCAAGGCAGAACTAGCACCCCCCGTCTCCTGGTGATTGGCCCAAAGTCACCCAGCTGGCTTTCCTGCCTAAGGCGGGATTAGAACTCATTCTCTCCTGCGGGTTGGCCTAGACAGTCATTCTGCCATCTTCTATGCCTACGGCGGGACTAGAACTCTCCATCTCCTGTTTCTAGACCGGCACCTTCACTACTACGCCCAGTGTGCAAGCTGAAATCCCTGCAAGCAGTAGTATAAATGCTCCAGTCCGTGGAACCTCTGGCACAACAGAGTTATAACACTGTACATTTCTCCTGCTTCCCATAAATTTCTCTCTTCCTCCAGGGGTTGCCGAGACTCTGCTGCCCTTGGGTCATTGTCCAATGCTCACAATCAGGTAAGCGGTGTTTTGATTTCTCTCGCATTTAACACGTTGCCAACTTCCAAAGGACGCAGCTTGTCAGAATGTTTGCAGCGTGACTACTGTTGTGAGACAACCCAGGAGTACGACACAGCACACAAAGGCTTTGTCTTTTAACAGTGGTTTATATACAAGGCCGCTATATACGTACATATACGTGATAGGCAAATACCTGGCAAGCAATCAATCTTCTTTACTCTGCACGGAGAGCCACAGTGGAGAGAGAACACAAGGAGAGAAGAGATACGCCCTCTCATGGCCTCATTTATAGAGAGACAGCTTCTTAAAGTGGTAAAACACTGTGGGACCCATCCTCAGTCTTAAAGCGTCAATAGCCATGCTGATTCATCTTCGTCGCATCAGCCTTACAACAGCCGGTCAGCTATTAAATCTCAATACCTTGACACAGCTTGTGGTTTTTCTTCCAGTTCATTGTTCTTCTGTTTCTTCCCCCAGACCGTTCCCGCAGAGGCTGACCCGCCCAAACGGCGTGAGACCTTCATGGAGTGGACGCGGAGGGAAGGGCAGTTGGCGGCCCTGCACTATGAGGAGGAGAAGAGGAAGACGAAACAGATTCAGAAGGAAGCTGTACTTGATTTTGTCAAGGTAAGGACCTTCTGAAGCCCCCTGTCAACCGCCCTAACTTGGTCAGTTACAAAAGAAAGACTTTCGGCCCATAGTTAGTTTCCCTACCAGCACCGCCTCCTAGCACTGATGATGTTCCCTAGGTTGGTAGTGAAACAGCTGCAAGAAAACCACCAAGCTCAGAGAGCACCAAGGACCTTTCAGTATAAACCAGGTCCCAATCCTTCAACTTTTCAGCAGCAGGCTAACTTACTTGCCAGGTAGTAGAAGTGTGTTTTTTGGAAACGCAATTGGGCGTGAGAGCTTAAGATAAATTGTCCTAACCGGCACTTCCCTTTCACTTCAGGTCTACCATTCTGCCATAAATCAATTCACCATTTGTCATCCTGTCCCTTGGGATATACTCTATCCCACACCATGTGATGACCCCTTCCAAAAGTGGCTTTGGAAGATCTTGAAGCAGAAAACAGGAGATGCTGGAACTGAAGGATCTGGGTTTCAGTTGAGACCTAGAAAAACCCATCTTACCTTGAGTTCGAACAAGGATCTCCAAAACTTGGCAACTTCAGGACTTGTGGACTTCAACTTCCAGAATTTCTTAGCCAGCCTCTGTGGCTGGCTGAGGAATTCTGGGAGTTGAAATCCACAAGTCTTAAAATTGCCAAGTTTGGTGTCCCCTATTGGTCTGTTATGGTCAGCACCGGTTAGTCAAAAAACTTGTCCTGACTTCAGATGGGGAATCTTTCTCCTCTTACCAAGAAATGCTAAGGAACATCTCTGGACAAAGGATGTTCCACCGTGTCTATGGAAATTTTCCTTCATCCAGGTGATGGTTGTCCCAAAGGTTTTTTTTTTTCAAAAGGCAATTGGACTTTGTTCTTCCTTGAAGATGTTTCACTTTGTTGTGGTTAGCCGGCAGCAAGTGCGGATTCAGATGAGGGGCCAGGACCATTAGGGGGTGGACTGCTGCCTTCAGAGATTGTGGGGGCAGGCAGCAGCGATGAGGAGGTTCCTGAGGAGCCTGTGCCAAGTGCGCATGCGCATAGGATTGCTCGCAGGAAAGAGCAGCTGCAACAGCACAGGCGACTCGGGAGTAAGGCTGCTAGGTAATGGCCCCTCCTTCAAGAAGATCAAAGCCAGCTGTGAATCAGACGTTCTTTGCAGGAAGCAAAAACGTTTTGAAACTCCAGCCTCGTGGACATTGCAGTATCTTTTTTAAAAAAACAAATTTTATTAATTTTTGAAATCAATACACAAACAAACAAAACATAGAATATAACAACATAAGAGATCTTTTCTGGAAAAACAAATAAAGCATCTTATTTAAAAACAAAATAATTCCAAATTATCATATTTCCATACAAACACAATTTAATATGTATTTTATCTTATCTTCAACTTCATATCTTTTCCCAACTTCTCTTTATTTCTCCCTTTCCTTCTATTCAATTATATTTCTTTTACCTTGAATTATATATATTCATTGTATCCATCTGCCTTATTTACAATTTCATTATCCTCTTCCAACGTTCTTCTAAGGCTTTAATTCAAACATAGACAGAAATAACACAAAACATAAATACATAAAACTTCTTTTTGGAAAGCGGCTTACCCCGGGTTACATCTTTTTGTACAGACATAAATTCCTGCTCACAAATATACTATTTCATATCTTATTTAACATTCTATATACAGTTTTGGCGAGTCTCGTGCTTATCAAAATCAATTAATTTGCAGCAGCCTTTTAACCGGGGATTCGTAAGAATCATTAAAAGGTTTCTGTTCTCTTTGGTTCGTGTTTGTTTTATTGGAAAAGGATTTGGGTCAGAACATACTTCTAGGAAGCTTCTCCAATTCTGACTGAATAGTGGAGAACGGAAGAGTTTACATTCCTTGCAGTCCTCTGGTCGTTGGTGCTGTTTCTGAGAGTAACTGAGGCCACTTGGAGATTTATCTGTTCCTTCAACCATCCCAAAGCAGGCTCCATATCCATCTGCACTACTCAGATGCCCCCAAGGGCTCAGATAAACCTCCAAGTGGTCTCAACAACTCTCAGAAAGAGTGCTACCAAGGAGTGTAAATCCTCTCCACCATTCCGTGGGAACCGAAGAAGCTTCTGGGATGAGAAGCGAAACGTCTTCAAGGAAAAAAAAAAAAAAAGTCCAGTTGCCTCTTGAAAAAGCACCTTTGGGAAGTTCCACCATTCAACTGCTGTTTTTCCTGGTAATGAAAGCTGATAACGGGGATGGGTTGATGAGTGGGAAGGACCCCCCCACCCCCATTTAAACCACAGATTCTAAACAAAGGTAAAAACCGGCTTGTTTTGCTGGAACGAAACCTTCTCCAATTTCCGCCCTCAGTATTACAATGACCATCAGCCTCACCCTCTTCCTTTCTAACGCTACCCTTAGTTTATCCTCCAGTTCAGCAGTTTCTTTTTCTTCTTTCCGAAGCTCAAGGCGTCCCAGAGCCCACGGAAGCAAAACACGCTGGAGAACGAGGTAAGCCTGGATGACCTCTCGTTACCCTTTCGTTCTTTCTACTAAAAGCTTCCTAGGCAGATTATTTGCCCCTTAGGGCTCTGATGAGAGAGGCATGCTTCCTGGGAAATGCTTCCCCCCCCCCCCGTGGGGTCAGTGGAACTGCCCGGATAGCAAACAGGGTCGTTTTGTAAAGGCAGCGTTTGATCTAACAGTGCTGCCTTTTGTTGCGTCTTAATCCGTCGTTTCCTTCCTCCTGCCTTGGTTCTGAATTTTTTCCTGGAAAGGACAGAGAAGGAAAGTTGGAGCAGACAATAAAACCAAGACTCCATAAGGAAAAGGTGCCAGCAATAGTTCTGTCCCAACTCTTCAGCCTTTTCATTAACAATAAATGTTCCGGCTCTTGAAATCTAGGGTGATCGGCCACTCATAACCAGCAGAACACCCTAGCAGAATCTGCACGGCAGTCAGGCAGGCAGGCAAAAATATGTGAGATAAACGTTTTTGTAGCTTACACTCAGTAAAACAGATACACTGTGCTAGTTAAATAGTTTTATTCCAGCAAGAGTTTTAGCATAGTCAAAAAAACAGTCCATATATCATTCACTAATTCAGTCCGTCCGGGGATTATACAGTTGCAAAGTCCAGTGTCGAAAAAGAGAGGTCAGCAAACTTACAAATATCAGTCCAGTAATATATCTCCTCGCAGTAGAGATATGAAGAAGTCAAACCTCCTTTCTTCCTTCAGCAACTCAGCAGTAGGGAAAACACGCAGTTAACAAACCATCAATCCATCAAACCAGCAATCGTCAGCAATCAGTCAGGTTCTCTTGCTCCCTCTTATGGCGGTTTCACAACCGCACCCAAAATTACATGCTTTGCAATTTAAAGTGACACACACTTCAACTTGCTATCATAGTTTATATATATTATTTTACCCAAACTACGTTAGGTAACCTATGTTATTAGTAACAGACCCCACAGTCCTTTTCTTCTTCCTCCTCCTCCTCCCAAACCCCATTCCCTTCCAGCACTGATGACATTACCTAACTGGGTAATGAAACATTTGCAAAAAAGGCAGCCAAGGTCGGAGAACACCAAGGACCCCGCAGTTCAACCCTGAGCTACAGCTATTCTCTTCTATTGATACCATTCAAAAGCCGGGCTCTGCTGGGTATTGTTGCACCTTCCTTGCACACACACTCCCTTTGGAACACACCTGCTTCACAAGCACGTACAACACGCTTGAAACCTTGCAAGCACTCCAGGCTGATCTCAATCGGCTCTCTTTCCAGTCTCTTCCTCATTTGACGTTTGCCTTTTTCCCCGGCAGTACGTTTTTTTTTCTACACCGGTTGGACAGTGTTCTTCTTTTTTAACTTTTACTAATGAAAACCTGGTTTTGATATCATGGGCTGGCAGATCAAATCCTTCACCCTATAAAAAGCTTCCCAGTCTGAATTCAGTCGCCTTGTTTTTTTCCTTCGTGGTTGTTTCGGTGCCTCCCAAACTGTCTCTGTGTCTTTGTATGCCTTCGTAAATGTTACGTTGAGGGTTTCCACAAAGTGCAGTGAAGAACAAGCAAGATGATTAAAAACCTGGAGGACTAAAACATACAAAGAACGGTTGCAGGATTTGGATTTGGGCAGTTTAGAGAAAAGAAGGATTGGGGGCCGGGCGGGGGACCAGATTAGCAGTTTTCCAGTATTTGAGGGGCTGCCACAGAGAAGAGGGGGTCCACCTATTTTCCCAAGTACCTTAAAGGCAAGATAAGAAACAATGGGTGGAAACTAATCAAGGAGAGAAGCAACCTGGAATTAAGGAGAAATTTCCTGACAGTTGAGAACGATTAACCAGTGGAACAGCTTGCTACCAGAAATTGTGGAGTTTTTTAACAAGAGATTGGACAGCCCCTTGTCTGAAATGGTCTAGGCGTCCCTGCTTGATCAGGGGAGAAGAGAAGAGCAACCAGGATGAAGAGGGGACTGGAGACTTAAAACATACAATGAACAGTTGCAGGAACTGGGCCTGGTTAGTCTAGGGAAGAGAAGGACCAGGGGAGACAGGAGAGCAGCCTTCCAATATTTGAGGGAGTGGGGTTGGACTAGATGATCTACAAGGTCCCTTCCAACTCTCACTTTAATCTGATTTGAATGAACAAAAGAACCAGGGGAGACAGGATAGCATCTTCCAATATTGGAGGGGCTGCCCCAGAGAGGAGGAGGAAGGGGGTCAAGCTATTTTCTAAAGCACCCGAAGGCCAGACAAGGAACAATGGATGGAAACTGAACAAGGAGAGATTCAACCTGGAAATAAGGAGACATTTTCTGACAGGGAGAACAATCAACCGGTGGAACAGAAGTTGTGGGAGCATCATCACTTGAGGCTTTCAAGAAGAGATCGGACTACCATCTGTCAGAAATGGTGTAGGGTCTCCTGCTTGGGTGGGGGTTGGACTAGATGACCTCCAAGGTCCCTTCCAACTCTGATTATCCGTTTATCTATTAAATCTGTTAGGGGGTTGGACTAGAAGACCTCCAAGGTCCCTTCCAGGGTTGTTCTGATTAGTAAATTAATCAGTAAACCTAGAATTAAGAAGAAATTTCCTGACAGAACAATTAACCAGTGGAACGACTTGCTTCCAGATATTGTGGAGGCTCCATCACTGGAGGTTTTTCAGAAGAGACTGGACAGCCACTTGTCTGAAGTGGTATAGGGTCTCCTGCTTGAGCAGGGGGTTGGACTAGAAGACCTCCAAGGTCCCTTCCCGGTCTATTGTCTTCTTTGCTGGAAAAGTTCGGAATTTGGGATCGTGCTACATTTTGCGGGCAGCCACAGCTCCGAATCAAGTGCAGATGGGTGAAAGGCTGAGATTTATTAAAGAGCTGACGGGGTCCCTTCCCCATCCCCCCAAAGTCAGGGTTTTCCTCCACACTCCGCTGGCGAGCGTTTATGTGCCTCCTTTCCGCCCCCCAACCCTCATCAAAAGCCTTGTTACTTCCAGATGTTTGTGCTTGTCTGTATACGGTGTTGTTTGTGTTCTCTTGTCACTGACACGAACATCTCTCCCGCGTTCCCAGTGTCCCTTTCCGTCCAGAAGGTCTCAGCACACTGACGATAGTGCCTTGCTGGTGGTAAGAATCCTGCACGCCTTGGCCTGCTTGTGTGTGTGTGTGGTGTGTGTGTGTGTGTGTGTGGTGTGTGCACGTGCTCTCAATCGAGACCAGAATTTAGCATGCCAGACGAGGCCGTCCATCCATGCAACCCTAAATAGCATAAAACATGGCCGCCCCCTCCTTTTCCTAAACACACCTTTCTGGTAAATCGTAAATCCATAGAACCAGTTCCCGGTACCCAAAAGGTTGGGATCCATTATGTTAAGTGAATCACGGCAGTTGTTAAATGAATCGTGTGGTCATTAAAAGGAATCTGGCTTATCCCATTTGATTTTGCTGGTCAGAACCTGTCTGGGAAGGTCACAAATGATGAATCAAGTCAGGGGTCCCCAAACTTGGTAATTTTAAGACTTGTGGACTTCAATTTCAGCTATGCTGGTGTTCTGACCCAAACCCTTTCCCAATAAAACAAACACGAACCAAAGGGAACAGAAACCTTTTAATGATTCTTTACGAATCCCCGGTTAAAAGGCTGATGCAATCGAATTAACTTTGATAAGCACAAGCCTCGCCAAAACTGTGCGAGGCTGCCAAGAATAACAGATAAGAAATATTTTACAACACAAAGAGTCTTCAAATACCAACTAAGATGCTGCAATGTCCACGAGGCTGGGTTTCAAAACGTTTTTGCTTCCTGCAAAGAACGTCTGATTCACAGCTGGCTTTGATCTTCTTGAAGGAGGGGCCATTACTTTGCAGCCTTACTCCTGAGTCGCCTGTGCTGTTGCAGCTGCTCTTTCCTGCGAGCAGCCCTGTGCGCACGCGCACTTGGCACAGGCTCCTCAGGAACCTCCTCATCGCTGCTGCCAGCCCCACAATCTCTGAAGGCAGGAGTCCACTCCCTGATGGTCTTGGCCCCTCATCTGAGTCCTCGCTCTCCTCAGCCGCCCACATCTGCTGCCAGCTAACCACAACAGCTGGCTGGAGAATTCTGGGAGTTGAAGTCCACAAGTCTTAAAGTTGCCAAGTTTGGAGAGCCCTGAATTAAACGATTCCGAGACAGTACAACCAATCATAAATAATGAGTCGGTTGCCAAGCCTCTACATTTTGAACACGTGGCCCTGGGGATATAGCAATGGTCGTAAGTGTGAAAACCAGCCATAAGTCATTTTTTTTCAGTGCCGTTGTAACTAACTGTATAACTTTACTTACAAGGGCTACTCCAATAAACTTGAAATTTTTACCCCTCCCATAGACAGTTGGTGGATAACCAGTTCATCACAATACACATTTTTCCCCCAAATGCTAAGCTTTTTGAGCTTGAAGTGGGTTGCTCTGACCACCTTTCAAGTTTTGGTTTTTTTTTTAAAATTCAGAGCTCCTAGAGTCGTTCTGTCGGCGAGATGGGCAGGGTATACATTTAATAAATAAATAAAATCACTTCTGGAGTGGTGAAAATCTCATGTCAAGGTTTGGAGCGATTGGTTCAAATATAAAAACAGTCTTTTGGGCTCAGGACAATTTTTGTTTTGCGTACCAGTAACAAAGAGTCATATGTCCAATATATTTCCTTTATTCTGCCAAAAAAATTGGCCCAGAACTAAAATGTAAATAGATACTCTTCTATTACCATGAAAAACTTCCCATTATTTTGATATGGCAAGGTAGATTTGGACTGGCCTTGTGTTTGAATGTGATACTCTCCTATTAGTGTTTCTCCATCTTGGACCCTTTAAAACAGGGGTATCCAACCTTGGCAACTTTAAGACTTGTAGACTTCAACTCCCAGAATTCCTCAGCCAGCAAAGCTTTGCTGGCTGAGGAATTCTGGGAGTTGAAGTCCACAAGTCTTAAAGTTGCCAAGGTTGGACACCCCTGCTTTAAAATGTGGGGATATCAACTTCCAGAATTTGCCAGCCACCAAGGCTGGCTAGGGAATTCTGGGAGTTGAAGTCCACGTATCTTAAAGCAGCTAAAGCTAAGGAACCCTGCCCTCTATATTTATCCAGGTCACCTTCCAAAGACATGAAAAAGTTTCCATTATTAAGTTTTGTGTTTGTGTTTGTAAAAGTCACTTCAATCATTAATGTCTGTCACCAAATTTGATGGTCAAATCTTCTCTAACAGAGACTAAACACTTTGTTTAAATCAGTGATGTCCTCGCTCTAATCCGGACCCCATTTTTAAGATTGTCCACTGTTCATGTAACTCTGTTTCCATGTTTTATGCTATTTCCTTCCTCCTTTAAAGATCCTTAAAAACAGCTGCTGAAACCCAGCTGCTTTGCCTAGAAATCCGCTTGCTCCTGCATGTTTACAGCTTGCATGCGTTCTGTGTTGTATTGTGTTTTGATCTCCTCTTCGCTTTAAATGCTTCATATTGTCAAGACATCTCAGCCTGATCCTGGAAAGAAAGAAACCGTCCAAATAACATTCACCCACCCACCCCCGGCTCAGTTGCTGCACTGCAGCATGGAATTTCTTTCTTGCAAAAGTAGAAAGAGGTTGGAACGTGGTTTTAAATTTTGAGTTGACAGAATGCCGGTTTAGTTTTAGCCCTGATTCAGCTGGATAGCATTTTAAATCTTAATCATATTTAGGAAAAGTGACGCTAATTTGTACCAGAAGACTCATGCAATCTGCTATCGACCACTGAATAAAGGAAGGAGTTATGTTACAATTCATTGCCATTTATCTTCCTTCCTTCCTTCCTTCCTTCCTTCCTTCCTTCCTTCCTACCTACCTACCTACCTACCTACCTACCTTTATCCTCCCTCCTTCCCTCCCTATACACCTCTCTTTCTTCCCTTCCCTCCTCCCTCCCTCCCTCCCTACTATTATCTATCCATCCATCCTTTCTCTCTTCCCTCCTTCTTCCTTCCTATC